AAGTTATAAGATAAACATTAAATAAGAAGTACTAACAACTATCACAGGTTTCTAATAGCGCGTAAAAAGAGCAGAACAGGCAAGGTCTCCTAAAACCCCTAAAACATAAATTCTACTCAGCTCTCGCGTAAAGCCAAACCAGGACAACGGCCGGCACGCACACCCTCCCTAAATGTATTAAACACCGCTTCGTCCAAGCGCAGACGCTCACACCCTAGCCAAATTCAAAAATAACCCCAATATAGATATAGGTTGCGGTGCTAGAGGGGCGTCAAAAAGCGCCGCTAAATCAAATCTCGCAAACAACACCAGGTTTTTCCTTCAAAAATCAAGCTTGCTATAGAAGCTTAGATAAAGAAAAAAACCAGGTAGTCTTCCTTTATAAAAAAAGGCCCTTAAGTTCCTAAAACAAAGACTATTTACCGTAATTAGTCCCATCCGCGTACTCTCTATATCAAACCCATCACAGGTCTTTAATGCGGCACAGTAAGTCAGTCCTTCGTAAGGTCCGATCTGCTTACTAAATATTTACAGTACTACCCTAAAGCCAAGATAATAAAATAACTCACCTTCACCGTAATGCCTAGGCGCCTTAGCCTCTTTGTTCGTATAAGATTATGCCGTATACTTCCGTTTTAACTACTAATGCCTACGCAAGCACTGTTTACTTATCGACCCCAGAAACACCATACCCGCATTCCTATGTCGCCGCGCGATTCGCGAGCTACAAAAATAATACAGCTATCAGTAACATAGGCGGGTCCTGTCGCCACACTATGGCAGGCAATAAAAAAAAACATAACAATATCTTCAAATAGCCTAGAGATTAAAAAATAAGCCAAGTACTTCAGATGCGCGAGATTCTTTGCGCCCCACACCCTTACGTTGCCAGTATTAGGCTTAATACTTTCCAAGAGGTGTACAGTACAGAAGGCTATCCAGCACATTAGTCAGCGATAACGCTAGACAACCAACAACTAGACGCCTTCCACAATGCTAGACTAGTCTGCCGAAATGTACATAATACAAGGCATAACAAAAAGGGCATGTTCGTCAAGAGAGAAATCCATTTCCTCTACTACAAGGCAAGCGATAGCTCGCCTGCGAATGCTACGCCATCTAAAGGAAATTCGAGAAATGTACCTATCAACCTTAGTAACAAAACAACAAACCCAATTCCACCTAAAGATGGTGGCCTCAGCAAGACGGATGCTAGATGCCCACAACTTCTCTCTCATAGAAGGGCAGGAGATTCAAGACTTCAAGAGTAGACGTAAGACGACGGCTCTAGGTCGTTCTTAAGAATAGAACGGATCGCTGTAAACAAGCAGGAAAACTATGAATAGTCCTGTTGTCCAGAACGTTGCACCAGGAGTGTTTATAACTCTTAGTCTAACTTGTAGTAAAATATCCCATTTTAGTAATGCCACTTAGAAAGAGCAGGCTAGGCGGAATAGGAGTCTAAAAGAACGCTCTCGTAAAATATACCAATTTTGTAATGCCGCTTAGAGGGGGCAGGTCAAGAAGAGACGGAGCCTAAATAACTCCCCTAAAAACCCCATAACAAAACATCTGCGCAACTTTTGCATAAGGCCAGACTAAGAAAAGCGCCAGCACGCACACCCTCACTGTAGGCACTAAACACCCCTCTTTCGACGCGCAAACGCTTACACTCCGTCAAAATTAAAAAAAAATACACCTACGTAGACATGTGTTGCGGTGCCAGAGAATCGTCAAGAGGCGCAGCTCAGGCGGATATCGTAGTTACTAGAGCCCCGCACAATACGACGACGGTTCCATGATGAGATTAGGCACCCTCACCTGTCAGTACCCACGAGGGGCCTAAAGAATAAGAAAAATGTAAAGCCAGAAGTTTGGCGGGTTCTTAACAAGGTCAAACCGCGTGTCGCAACCCTGGAGCAGACGTTTGGCCTTGCCACCCACAAGAAGCACAAGAGGAACTTTCGCATGCTCTGCTTGTGGGTGGCAGGGCTGGTTACGATGTCTGCCAACGAATTCCGAATTATTACAGCTTTTGCTTCCTGACAACCTTCAAATGGAATCCACTCCGATTGAAAGGATACAAACTATCAATACGGCAATGTAAGGATGATCAAACATCATGTACGAAGTCCGCTACAAAATCCAGGACCTAAGCCAATACGGCCCTGTACAGAAGCGCAAGCGGGTGCCTATCATGGCTGCAAGGTTCGGCGTTCAAGTTCCATATGCCCAAAATACATATTATAACAGCACCCAGAAAGGGAACGCCTCTTTAACGCTTCCTAAAGCCCACTCATGGAGCACCAGGAAGTGGATTGAAACCCTTTGTATGCGTCTTTCGGGCCCTCAAACATAGTACGCGCCGGGCAGGCGAGCTATGAACGACCCCTACCATGAGCCCAGGCTGTTTCCCATCCCCAGATCAGCCTATAATCCGCGAACATTCCTCCAAGGCTGCATCGCCACTGGCGATACAAACAGCTCGCAGTCCCTCCGGCAAACGACACTTTACACCTCGCGAACTCTCTTTGTGGCAGAGCTTCCCATACCTGTACCCATCCACCGGTGCCCAGGGCGAGGCCAAGAAGCAAATTGGGAATGCAGTTCCGCCATGCAAAGCACAGCCGATGTACCAGAACATTGCAATGTCTCCTAAAGTATTTGAAAGGGGCCTTGTGGAAGCTGAAGATATTCCCTCTAATGTGGATGCCATTCTGGGACCTAGCGGTGAGAGCATTCCTCAACAGCGACGTCTCGATAGCATCACCGGAAGCGCAAACCCCTTTCAGACCTTCTCGGACCCCCAGCTCTAGGATGGCGAGAGCGTCTGCATGGCCCTCTACGCGCAACCACAAGTCTGAGTCGATGCATTCGCGCCGCAGGAGTGCGAATTGCTATCCGTCTAAGATCGAATCTCCTTGATGGTGTGCTGAATGGCATCAACAGCGTCGCGAGCCTAGTATTCCAGACGGCGATGCCAAAGACGTCTACATCCCCAGTGACAGCGAATGGGCGTCTACCATTCGCCGAAAGAGGAGGGAATTTCAACGGCGCGAACTGGTCAATTTCACGTGCCTTCGTTTGCTATAGATCGCTGCAAGGTTCATAGTTTGCGGTCCACGTGCCCAAGATAAACATTCCAACAGCTTTCAGACCGGGTGCACCTCTACCTCCTTTCCCAAAGCCCACCCACGACGCTTCCAGATATAGTCCTCCCCTATGCCGAAGTCACCAACACCGAAGATGAAATCTCGAATCTGCGCACGCGGTTAGAAACTAAGAGTCATGTTTATAAGCGTTCCTGACTAAATTCAACAATAAGTTATTAGGCTGCTACCCCCTCACACATATCACGACAGCCTTAGAATCGATATCTGTCTAGATTAGCGGATAAGTTTCTACAGCAACCAACAGCACCGCACACTAAATCTAAGAGAGCGAGTGAAAACACACCGCAGGGCTAGGTTACTAAATATTAGAGGCTATTTAGGCAGATTATCTTCTACAATACAACAACATAATTATAGGCACAGAGCAGTGTTTATTACAGTTAATTTTAGCACTTAATTATCACACACAATAATTACTCTTAGTTATTACACTTACTTATAGCTTAAAATTATTACCCTTTACTATTACTCTCTATTAGTATACTTAACTATTACTCTTAACATGTAGGCTTTTATATTAGATTAAATAACTACACTAAGTTATTACATATAGTTAGTACACTTTCTTAATTCGTTTAATTATTACTCTTATTTATCTTATGTAACTATTACTCTTAATTTTCCTAATCTATTTTAACCCTTACTAATCACTCTTAAACATTATCCTTAATTATTACTCTTAATTATTACACTCGACTATTACACTACCCTTAATTATTAATCTTAATTACCACACTTAACTGTTACCCGCAATAATCACCCTTAATTATTACCCTTAAACATTACCCTTAATTATCACCCCTACTTATTACATTGCCCTTAATTATCATCCTTAATTATCATCTTCAATTATCATCTTCAATCATCACCCTCTGTTATTACCCTCAAGCATCACCCCCAATTATCACATTGCCCTTAATTATCATCCTTAATCATCAGCTTCGATCATCACCCTCTGTCATTACCCTTAATCACCACCCCCAATTATCACATTACCCGCAATTATCACCCCTAATCACCACCCTTAAGCATTACCCCTAATTATCGCCTTCAATCATTACCCTCAATTATTACCCTCAATTATCACATTACTCTTAATTATCACTCATAATCACCACTCTCAACTATTACCCGCAATTATCACCCTCTATCATTACCCTCCATCACCGCACTCAATTATCACATTCAACCACCACATTCAATCATCACAGTCAATCAGCACATTCAATCATCATATTCAATCATCAAAGTCTATTATCACAGTCAATAACCACATTTAATCGTCAAAGTGAATTATCACAGTCAATAATCACAGTTAATTATCACAGTCAATTATCACATAATAGTTTGCGGCGAGTATAGAAATATCATTCACGTAAACAAGGACAACCAATGCGCAGAACCCACCCACTGCAGCAAAGTGCCACTCGGGCGTACTTGACGTCACGGTTGCCTCGGCGCAAATCCAAGAGTGTTTCCTATGGGAAAGACGAAAAGAGGGTTGAAGGAGATGGCGCTGCTTCCAAATTGGCCGAATTCTGCCTCCAGATTTGGCTGCAAGTGCTGGCCTCTGGCGGCAAGCGTGGATCCTCCCCCAACACCTTCACAACACACGTTCTGACCGTGACGCCTTTGTGGCTTTTGAGATTGCTCTTTTACCTGATTGCGACGATTTGGGAGCTTTTTGAGCGTCGCGATCGCGTTTTTCCTGCTCTTGTTGGGCTTGTTTCGCGGCCTTCTCCTCAGCCGCCCTTTTGCGCTCTTCTTTGGCTCTCTTTTTCGCAGCTTTGCGCACAACCCGCGCTTCTTTTTGCATCTTCTTTTTGTACAATGTTGCTGCCTCTTTCAGCTTCTTTGTCTCTGCTTTTGCAAGCTTTTCCTCCAGTTCTGTGGTTGCTCTGACTTGTTCTCGGGCCTTTGCCTCCCTCACCTTCTGGGGACTCCAGAAAACAGCACCACCATGATACTCTTGACGCTGTTGAGGCTCTACAGGCTTACTCTTCTTGTCGTGCTTCCTTTAGTGTGCTAGCGTGTCTTTCAGGCCGTCATTTTCGGTGTTCAGGATCTCGTTGAAGGTCTGTAGAGAATGGATGGCGACAGACAGCCGTTTCGACGCATCTTCATCCCTATTCTTCACTGCAGCCTCCTGTAACTTTTGGAGGTGTTTCCAGCTGCTCCGGTTGCCCTTTGGCTCTGATCTTGGGTCTTTGTTGCCATCAGAAGGTGCCTTTCTGAATCGCTTCAGAACTTCTCCCCCATTCATTGGCTACACTCCTGTAGCTTCAAATGCTTTTAGGACGTTCTGAGACGTAAAAGAGAGCTGCTAGGCAGCCCAGAAAAGGCCTATAAAGTCTCCTTTCTTGACTCCAACAAGCCCGTGGCTGCAGTGAGGGTAGCGGGTCAATTCGGCCGAATAATGGCTGGAAAGTGACTTGAAAACGACCACATCAAGCGGCTGAAGACTGTGAGTCGAATGGGGGGAAAAGATCAACAGCAGGATCTTGTGTTCGTCGCAAAATTCGATAAAATCTATGGTTACGTGGCTTCCGTGGCTACCTAGAATCAGAAGGCGGTAATTCGAGCGAGCTTTCTTCTTCGTACTTCTTTCGCACACCTGTTCAAGCCAGGCAAGGCCGAGGTCATTGTTAGATCGCCCTGTGGCCGACGTGGAGGCGAAAATTTGGTGCTTTTCGACCTCTAGGCCCTCCATCCAGGAGCTCTAAAGTGAACCTTTTCCTGGGTAAATAATCGCGGGCGGAACTGTAGATCCATCGGCACAAATACAAGCTAGGAGGGTAATAAACTCTCGCAATCCATCTTGAAGAGCTTCGGAAACCTCCTTTTCGTCGTACAAGTGCCTGGAAAAGACGCGTTTAGACCGGCTAGTCAGGCTGAGAAGAAACCCCTTTTCGTCCATATTGTAGGGGTTCCAGCTTTTGATAGTATACTCGTCCATCTTGGAGTGAATGAGATTAAAGTACAGCTTGTACTTGTAGTAGGAGTCGGCGTAGTGACGTTGACGGTCCATTCCAGAGGTCCATTTCGAGATCAGACGGCACTGGTTTCTTTCCAGAAACAGGGAAACCCAGCGCTTCGAACACTCTCTTCTGGCGACTGAAGAGCCAAAGTTTCGCACCATCTCTCTTGTAGGAGGTAGCCCTCGCTTTGGTAAGTCTTCAATATAATTTACAAGCTCCTGCTCTTGTTGGGGGTTGAGATTCTGATGTTTCTGGCCACCTCCTGCACGATCGGCCTGCACTCCGCGGTGGCGGCGAGCCAGCATCGCCTGGCTGACGCCAAGTTTTTTTGCGACTTCGCGATAGCCAAAACCTGCGCCGTCTTCACGCAAATCGATTGCTTCAATCGCATCCTGAATCGGGTCCATATTGGTGGAGTTATGGCGCGTCGCGCGGGGGTGGTTAGCTTTGTTATGATGTTCGGGTGGCTCGATTTGCGCACCGGCTGAATTCACGGCCCGACACGGTATTTCAACATTTTCGATTTTTTACCAAAGATCACTTTGGTACCGCGATCCATCAATGTGACGCCCATTCGTGAGCGTCCATTGAGCATGCGACAGTTTCCCGCACAAACCGCGCTTCTTCTTGCATATGTCGTTTTGGTACACTGTTTTCTGGAACGGGTGTATACTGGTGGAGATGGCGCGTCGCGTGGGGGTGCGTGGCTTTGTTATGATGTCACACTGGCTCGATGTATGGCTCGTTCTGCACATCGAGCCTGCTCGTTGCGAAGAGGACGCATAGCCGTGAGGTAGGATGCAAATGGAAAGAGTGGCAAGTGGATTGAATTGGGATCAGCTACATATCATCTCGTGCCCACCCCAACTTCACAGGTATCTTCTTCGCATCTCTCTTTTCCTCCAACTCCGACCATCAAACCTCATCATCCGCCTGGTACCATTCGCACGCCACACCAGCAGCGAAGCAATTGGTACAGACCGGAGCACCATCACCCAGGAGCACGAGCAGAGTATCGGCGCCGATATTCCGACACTCAGCTATAAGTCGCGCGTCAAGACCAAGACAGCGGTCGCATACCTCACCGTGAGAAGGACGGTAGCTGGTGCGGCTTACCGTTGCCAACACGGACGTAAGCGCATGGAGGTTGAGCCTGGTGCTTTGGGTTGGGTTGTGCTGGGTAAGGAGCCAGCGGAATGTCGTCGGGCCAGGGTGAGAAGAGTCGATGAGTTGCATGTGGACGTCGTTGCGGACGGGGTCGGTACGGTGTTCCTCGACTGATTCGTCGGCGAAGAACACGGAGGCTGGGCTTGGGAACTCAGACGGGTTGACGAAGCCGGCGGCCGTGATGGCGGCTTTGCAGGCGGAGACAGTGATGCGGCGGCTGTAGAGGTAGACCTCCACTGTATGGCTTGTTAGCTGTTGTAGATAGCGCACGTGAGTGGATGCCTACTGAACTCGACAAATCGACCGAAGGACGAGTCGTCTGCAAAGAACGCCTTGATCTGATCGTCGCTGGGGAGGGGCGTGGAGTCGGACATGGTGCTTGGATGAAATAGTCGAGAGGTGTGTGGAGGTGGAACAATTCTCTGGTAGTTGGAGGGAGAAAGAGCAAAGCAAAGGGAGGACGCCTGGGTTGATATACAGACCGTCGCCTTGTTGACAGTCGCACGTTTGGCCTTTACCGTGGGTGGTTTCATAAGTATCCCCACCCGCTTGACGCCCATATTGGGCGCTGCCGACCCCACGACAGTCAACCCATCGTCAGCGCAACAATCGACTCGCCTTGGCCGCGGATATCCCCGCCATCCTGGCTCTCCGATTGGCTGCCACCTTCACATCTAGATTGACCGGATCCGCATGTGAAGGCCTGCGTTTTCGCAACTTCAATTCGACAGTCGACTGAGCGTCACAGCGACAATCAACTCGGCTTCTCCGCGGATAGCTCAAGCACCTGGCGCTCCCATTGCCTTCTGCCTTCGGGTCGGCATGGGCCAGACGCGCGTGGGAAGGCCTGCGTTCGCGCGGCTTCGCCTCGACAATGAACTCCGCGTCACAGCACGAACGAGCTCGGCGTCGCAGCGGGAACCAAATCGCCTGGACCGCCGACGTGTCCATCCTCCTGGACCTCTGACTGGCTACCGCCTTCACACCTTCGTCGCCGAGAACCAGGACGGATGGCCGGCGTTTGCGCAACTTCTCCTCGACAGTCAACTCCGCGTCATCACGACGCTCAACGGGCCTTCGCCGTGGATATCCCCATCGGCATAGCACTCTGATTGCCTACCGCCTTCTCACCGCGATCGGCCAGATACGCACGTGAAGGCTGGCGGCCCGCGACTTCACCTCCACCGTCGACACACCTTCGCGGTGGAGGCCGCAGCCAAGTATAACCACCTGCTCGCAAGCTTCTCCCTTGACACACTCACAGCCTCAAGTATCTTCTGCTTACAAGCTCTACCATTCACACTCTTGCAAGCTCGATATTCATCCTTGCCGTCTTCCTCGTGCTCTCTCCCATATCACAGCAATACCATCCTCACTTGCCCTCTCTCCCCCCCTGACGTCTTCTTCGCCATCATGGTCTACTACGACACCACCAACGACCTCGTCCAGGCGTTTAGCCGCCAGATCGGCATGCACGAGGCGACCAGTACCCTCTTTTATGCTGACAACGACCGCGCTCTCACGTTGGCCAACCTGCGTCATGGCCACACTGTGCTTGAGATTGGCTCGGGCCATGGCCAACTGATCACCAAGGTCAAGCCCATCATCGGCAACGGTTTCTGTGTCGCGGTTGATGCGGTGCAAGGCTTTGTCAAGACGGACATTCCGTGGGCCATTCATCGCGCGCGCCTCTCCGTCTATCCCTCGAACACGCCTGACAACGACATCCATCTCCTATGCACCCTGGCTACTGATCCAGGCTTCCGCGCACGTGTTCGTGGTTTGCCGGAAGCTCCGCAGAATGGGTTCGACCGAATCTTTGCGATCCACGTCCTCAACACCGTCCCCCCTGGGCAGCGCAAGGAGTTCCTCCGCCGATTGCGCACAATGCTCGCGCCAGATGGCATCCTCATCACCAACATGTCGGCCCGCTTCCTCGCTATCGCCCCGAGCCCCGAGCATGCCGGCGTTCCTGTTCAGTTCCGCGATGGTTACACCGAGGCGCCAGGGAGTGTAGTCGTCTCCGACCTCCAGGGCACTGTCGACGCCCCTATCGGTCCTTTTCCACGCAAGGTTGTCAACGCCGCAGTTCAAATCTCGCACAACCCACTGTGGATTGAGTCCCGTGTACAGGCGCGTGAGGCTGCGGAAGCGGCTGGCTTTATGGTCCACAACTCTGTCGACCTTGGCAAAGGCGATCTCTTTTCCCTCACTGCTCTCCCTGGCTCTCCACCTCAAGCGACCCTCAACAACATGCGTCGCGAAGACCTCATGCGATGGAACGAGCCAGGTGCGTTGCAGCCAGGGTACAAGTGCATTGGCCGGGCGTTCTTCAACTGTGTTTCGCGCGAACCTGGCTTCGCCTATAAGCCCGACGCGGTGAAGCAGGGCACCTTCGTCTTGCGCGCGCAGAGGGCCGTCGAGGATTTTATGCGAGTCAACCATCAGGCAGGAAGGGTCATTGAGCACGAGCAGGTGGGCACTTTGGTGAAACTGGGCAAGGTCTAGGTAGGTTTGGCAGCGTCTGGGAAGTAGCGGAGGTATCCTGGCCGAGGTTCCCGGCGCTTTTCGAAAAGGCGAGGTCAGTCTGGGATGAGGTGACTTTCTTGGCCTCACAGACAGTTGGCAGGCTTATATTGAACTACTGCCTTTCCTCTTGCTTCACCGGCACCAAATGCTTATCTCTTTCCTTCGTGATGTAAAAACGCTGAAATTTCCAATTCCTCATTCGTTAGTTTTGACGTGGATCTAGTGTATTTGGCATAACGGTGAGCGGGTAAAACAGCATGTCAGAAGCAACCGAACACTGTTATTATTATCTGTTATGCGCGCCAACTCGATTGACAATATGGTAGAGCATCCACAGGGCTAAGTTTGGCCCGTGGTCGTCAGGAAATCCATCGAAACTGGCATGAAGCCACCCACCGTCACCGCGGATATCTCGAGCGGCCAGGCGCTCCGATTGGCTCCCCCTTCACGTCGGGATAAGCCACATCCGCATGGGGAGGCCTGCGTTTTCACGACTTCACTGCAACGATCAACCCAGCCTCGCCGCGAATACCTCGAGCAACCGGACGCTCCAAGTGGCTTCCGCTTTCCGGTCTGGACAGACCAGATCCACGTGGCAAGGTCTGCGTGTGCGCGACTCCACCTGAACAGCCAACTCGGCGTCGCTGCAACAAACAACTCACCTTGGCCGCGGAAACCTCAAGCTCAAAACCGCCGCAGCTCCCGGAGCTCCAACCCTCTTTCATCGCCCGAATTCAGTTCCCGTTGCCCATCGTCAAACCATCAACCATGATCTGCTCCACCGGTTTCGCTCCCCTCTTCTCCTCTGAACGCCATGGTCTTCATGGTGAGCGCATTACCAATATCCGCCTAAGCGTAAGGAATCGCTCTATTTTGCCAAAGTCCGATCCACTGACGTACTGACAGAAGGATCTCGACATGCCTACCGATAGTGATCTCTGTCAACTCCGCCGGCTTCCGCAAGTACAGCTCCGTCGTGACGACGAGGACGACATGGCTCGATACGACGCCTGTATTCGCCGACGTGCCTTCCAATTTGCTCCCGAAGCTCGCTCTTCCAGCGCCACAACCAATTTCAGGGATAGCATCTACCTTGGTCGCAAAACAGGCGGCGGCGATGTCTGGGCACACCTTGTTGGGGACCTAGCCAATACGTATTGCTGCGACGCGCCCCGACGTGCCTTTATCTCCTTCCAGTGGGTTGACGGCAGTGATGTTCAAGCGGTGGTCGTGCGCAGTCTACACTCGCTGGCTGATGTTGCCGTGTGGGACGATGGGATCAAGGGTCAAAGTCTTGTTGAGCGCTTCTGCTTCATCTACGATGCGCTTGTTGGCGAGGCGAAGACACTAGCATGGTTGAACGATGAATACTGAATCACTGCCCCTTCTCTTGCACTTTTCTTGATGAAAGTGTGTCTCGCTCCTTCGTGATGTAAACATCGCCAAAGTTGCCATTGATTGCATCGTTGGCTTGGATGGGAAGGTTGGCCATTTGGCATGACGGTACGCAAGAAACCAAACATATCTGAAACAGGCAAGCACTGTTATGATGGTCTGTTATAAGCGCTACCCAGTTGCCAAGATTGCACAGGATCCTCACGGCTGAGCGTAGATCTCAATCGTCAGAGAATCCCTCGAAATCAGTATCGGAACCCCACGCTATCTCGTCTTGTCCAGTTCCACCCTCTTCTTCCTCCGCCGCGGCGTTCTTCCACTGATCGTCCGTCTCGTGTTTATCTTCTACACGGCTGTGGTGCGCATTACTCTCAGCATCATCGTCCAGCTCCTCTTCACATTCATCGCTCACCGCGCCCGTATCGTATGCCCTATTACCAGAGCGCGACGTGTTGTCGTCCAGGCCCATGGCGGTGAGAACGGACTCGGGCTCACGTCGTCTAGGCTTATTAGTATGGGTATGTGATCGGGGAATGTGTTGAACATACCGCCAATGCTCGTCTTTCACCATTACCAACTCAGATGGCT